TGTTATTTTCCAGAAAAAATTTTGTCGGCCCACCCTAATGCCTAGCATTATCTGTAAGCTTTATTTTTAATGGCACACCCTGTATATTTTTATATTTTTAAAAGCTCCTTTTCTTTTTCTTCTTTGAGTGCCTCTCCTATCGGAGATTGGATATCATTATGGCGATTCTAATTTTATTAACTGCTGTTTTGAATAATTCGTTAGTGGTACAGCCAAACCACTCTCTTAAATTTCTCATCCAGGACATTCTTCTACGGCCTGGATTTCTGCGTCCTTGGATTTTTCCTTGCATTATATTTTGTAGGAATGTGTACTTTTGTCCTCTCATCAGGTGGCCTAAGTATTCAAGTTTTCTCTTTTTTATATTCATAATAACTTCTGGATCGTTATTTATTCTGCGTATTACCTCTTCATTTGTAATTTTATCTACCAAACTTATTTTTAGTATACGGCGGTGGCAGCATATCTCAAAGCTTTCAAGATTTTTAATATTCCTCTGTTTAAGAGTCCATGCCTCAACTCCGTAAAGCTAAGTACTGAAGCTCCTTAACAACCTGATATTAACGAACTATATTGTGTAGGGTATTTTATGAATAAGACAAGATAAAATTTTGTAATTATGTATCATTTTCGTGAAGACATTCAATACATAAAATTTTGAAATTAATCATTCACCACAATGTAAATATTATTTTAAATAAGCTTAATACAGACACAACTTCCTGAACTAAGTATCAATATATTGAGTTTTGTATTTAATTTCTTGATGAAAATTATATATAATTTCAAAATTTCACCTTGTATTATTCATAACAGACCCTAAATAATATAGTTTGTTAAGATCAAGTTATTGGGGAGCTTTTAAAAACATAATAATATACATTGTGCTCTGTCAAAAATAAAATGATGGATTATGCTATTATGCTAGACTTGCGTGAATCACCCTGGGGCCTCCTTCCTTAAATTTTACCTTACAAAATGCATTGAAAATTTATGTTTAATAACCGCATATTTAAATTTAAAATTTGGCGTGTCGTTATAGCTTTTTTATAATTAAAAAAAAAAATAAAAATACAAACAATTTTATTCCATAAGTGATTTCCACACTGTATACTTTCAAAATTTCACCCTGTAATATTAATACAATACATAGTAATTATATGATATAGTTCGTTCAGATCGGGTTGTTAAGGAGCTTTTAAAAATATAAAAATGTACAAGGTGTTCTTATAAAAATAAAGCTTATGGACTATGCTAGTCTTGCATGGCTCACTCTGAACATTTAAATTTATGTTCAACAAGTGCGTATTTGTATACAGTATAGGTAAAAATTTATGGTCGGTATGGACCTTACGCGAGATGGAGTAATAAACCCAAACTGCCCAAAGATAATCAAATTTGGGCGAAATGGATGTAAATGGCAGCTTACTGTTTTTTATTGGGAATATGCCACAATTTTACTTTACAATAAGTGTAAAATATAACATTTTGATTTCCACTTCGGAAATCGTTTTACTAAAGTAAAATTTATTAACATCAAAATAAGCTTATTTTAAAGTGCCTTATTCCCAATAAAAATAATAAACTGCAATATGACGCCACAATAAAAAAAGCTTCATACAAAATTATTTGGCTACATCTCGTCTCGCGTCGTCAAAGCACCGAATCAAAGTAGGGACAGTGGTAACGAGTAGAGGTGGGTTGTTGACGTTTTTATTGTTAACGCAACTGAATTGATTTTCAAGTAAGAGAGTACCTACATAAACAAACATAATGGCTATTATCGTTTATGTGTATATTTATTGAAGTGAAAGAAACTAATGAAGGATATATTTATTATAACTTGAAAAATAAACTAAACAATACAAATAGTAAATCGTACTTACATTTACATTACACGTTATTATTAAATCGCGAATCGTCTAAATTGACATTTAAAAACATAAGTTTTTCTACTTTACTTCTTGTTAACCGTGTTCTTTTTTATTTAAAATTAAACCAGATTTTGAACATGTGTTTACATTTACAATATTTTATGAATATAGTGGTTAAGTTAGGATATACATGGCGATGGTTTTTCCACCATTGTAATGGACTCTCGATACAGGTGTACGTTTAGATGAGTCATGTCCAATTAATTGATCAAAAATACACCATGGACTTAAGTCATCTTTATCGGTTTCTTTTTCTTGTACTGGTTGATTTTCAATAGTACAATCTTCTTGTTCTTTAATTATAGAAGTAACCAGCTTCTTAACTCTTTCTTTTGTTTTTTAGCTTCATTTTTATCAGAAAATCCCTGCACTTTAAATCGTGAATCCATAAATGTACATAATGACAATGTGCCACTCTGTTCTATCCCTCTAAATCTTTTTGCTAAACCCGATATTAGTAATTGTACTACGTCGGATACTATGGATGTAAGGTTACCGTTTGCTAAAATTTTATTGCAAGATTCTTGCAGGCAGCGTACCATAACAATCACTGAACTACCCTTCAAGTATTTTTGGCCACTCATTGTACTTGTTATTTCTTTAAAAGGCCGTAAAATTTGGGAAAGTTGAGAACAAATAATCCAGTCTTCATTATTTAGATTTGGTCTAAGTCTAAGTCTGTATTAACTAATACCAATGTGGAACGGATTGCCTCTTCTAACTCGGTCATTCTTTTTAACATGTAATAGGTGAAGTTCTACCTAGTTTCCACGTCTTGGATTGGCCGTTTGGGAACTTTGTTATGTTGTAATTGATACTTTAAAAGCCTTTCTGAAGATAAGGTACTTTTTTTGAAATGTGTTTTTTGCCGAATTGTCGAAAAAAAAGACTTTTTATTTTATCTATTTGTACACGACAGCATTTAAGTGCGTCCTCCACCAATAAATTTAACGTATGAGCAAAACAATTTAAATGTTTTCATTCCAAAACATCTTTAATAGCTTTGACCATATTTGAGGCATTATCAGTTACTGCAAAATTTACTTTTCGTTTTAGACCCCACTGATTAATAATTTCACTAATTTCAAAAGCGATGTTTTCTGAATTATGGTTTCCAGAAAAATGGCAGCAGCCTAATAAAACCGTTTTAAATTCTAAATTTTCGGTTAAATATTGTCCTGTTAATGCGATGTAACTCTCAGTTACTCCAGATGTCCAGAGGTCAGTAGTAATACAGATATTTTCTACTTCTTTAACAACTTGTGATCTAATAATTTGCTCAGTTTTGATATAACATTCCTGAAGTAATGAACCTGACAAAGTTTTTCTTGTTGGCGGTTTATATCCAGGAATCCACCCTGCAAACTTTTTAAAAGCTCGTTCTTCAACTATGGAAAACGGATGAAACGAGTCTTTGCATAGGTTTAGTAAATCCATATCTATTTGTTTCTTTTGTTCTAAACTAATATTTTTATTAATGGAAGTATCCATCACCTTTTGACGCTTGGGTGGCGGTGGCAGTATGTCAGTACTTGTAGTAGAAGTAGTCGAAACGGACAGAAATGCGTCAGGAGAAGTTTCAATCATTGCAATATTCAGAAAGTGGACCATAAAAGCTGCATCTTCTACAAATGTGCATTTTTTGAAAATAAAATTATTATTCTTATACTAGGTCAATAATTTTGACTAAGAAAAAGAATTCTTAATTGAATATTTACAATAAATAAATCCTTTGACGAACTATCAATAAAGATTTGAAATCGAAAATGCAGATCAATCGAAATCGAAACTCATTCATTAATCAGAATACCTAGTTATTTTATTTTCAACGTCAACCGATAGCCCGACTGTCCACTGTCCCGAAAGAGTCGCATGTTATTTTTAGTTTTGTAGTAGTCTCTCAGATCAACTAATCGTCCTCGTCGACGTAAAGTGTTCGTTGCTCCTCTGTTTACGTCTACACAAAACGTAGTTTTTTTTAATCAACCATCAACTAGTTGGCTTACCAGTGAGAAACCGTAGATTCGTAAATGACAAATAATGATTTAAAATGCAGGGATTTTCTGATAAAAATGAAGGTAAAAAAACAAAAGAAAGAGTTAAGAAGCTGGTTACTTCTATAAAAAAAGAAAAAGAAGATTGTACTATTGAAAATCAACCAGTACAAGAAAAAGAAACTGATAAAGATGACTTAAGTCCATGGTGTATTTTTGATGAATTAATTGGACATGACTCATCTAAACATACACCTGTATCGAGAGATATAAAAGAAGTCGACATGTATTTGTCTGATGATATATTACCCACAAAAAATTTCGAACGGAGATTGGAACTGTCCATTACAGTGGTGGAAAAACCATCGCCATGTATATCCTAACTTAACCACTATATTCATCAAATATTGTAGTCTAAGAGCCAGTGGGCGGCTACCTATATGTATTTGACGATACCTGGATTTTTGTACAGTGAGACCCCTATACCTACTGTACATGAGATGGAGAGTCACTAAGCTCCAGGTGGCCGACTTGCGGGCGCTCAGGTAAGACAGGTATCGATTTTTGGCCAATTTTATAAGTATTTGACGACGTCTGCCGCTTTGAAATTTGAAAATATATTAATATTATTATCGGAAAATAACAATGGCAGACCATTATCGCGCGGTTTTCATTGCGGCAGACAATTTTGAAAGTGCTCAAAAAAATAAAATTTTCAAAGTAATTGACCAGATCTGCCATTAATATATTTCATTTATTAGGGTCTTAAAAACTTATATTGATCATGGCAGACGTCTTCATGGTGGACATACTTCAGTAGACAAGAAAATCTTAGCTATTATCCGGTCAGATGTATCTGTATGACGTTCCCGGTTTCATATCAATATCATTTACCTTCTTACTGTATTCATAGCAATTAATACTTCATTTTGCAAATTATGGACTAAAATTTAGAAATTTGATGATAAAATAGTCAATTTATTTGATTTTTTTCTTTTAATTTATTCACAACAAAATTGAAAAAAATGAATCATGAACTACAAAAAATATTTTCTTTTATTGATTTGAATTTTTATTCATCTTCATCGGAATTATTTGTCTCCAGGTGGGACTCCTCTTCATCATCCTGTGATTCGGAATCTGTAAAAATAAAGCATAAATTATTAAATAAAAGTCAATCGTAAATTGATCTGAACACATTCAGTAAAGAATTAATTATTATGAACTTACCAGGAACTTGGGTGATTAAATCACTGACAGAAGTTGGGAGTTGATCTCCTTCAAACCATTTGAATGTAAATTTCTCGTCTTGCTCTATCCAACCAAACTCTAATGGATCCAATGTCGTAGGTTCTTTTTTGTAAGCATTTTTCCAAATTGTAGAAATATAATGCGCTCTCAGAAGTTGTTGATAAAGCTCACTTTTACATGGTGGTATTGAGCTTGCATCAAAATTCGAAATTTTTTTGCTGAAATTTTCATTGACATCGGAAGCCTTATAATTATTGACGAAAAGTTGGTATCTTCCATCATCAACGTCAACAGATTTTTTTGCATTATAAAGTTGGCAGGTAAACTTTTGAATGCTGTTAAATACCTGTTGTAACTGGTCCTCTGTCAAATTTTCTTCACCAAGAGTAGCAAATGCTTCTTGAACTTCTGTATTTTTCTTCAATAAGGTAAAAGGTCTTCTTTTCCCTTTATTAAAGAAAGCCGGATTGAAATCACATCCTGTGAACGCATGGAAGCCGATTAAGCTTTTGGCTAGCAATTCACCAAGCTCTTTGTAAATTTTTGTGATGTGAATATACCTTTCCTTATTTCCGGTGCCATTGAGCATCCAAACATTAGAATTGGCATTTTGTAATCGTGTCATATTACCAATCATTATAATTAAAATATCAGTATCAGAGGCTCTTATAACAATATTCGACTGCTCTGTGATATTGCAAGCATGATACACAATCTTAGTATCAGCTTCTTCATGTGAGGTACAACATAAACTTTCAACTACACTTGATTGGATCTTGTCATCTACAATTTGATATGATTGACAAGTTCGGAAATTTATGAAAATTTGTCGGTTACCCAAAAATGATTTCATTTCTTCACTAGACCAGTGTTTTGTAAAAAAATCTACCAAAGCTTCCTTGAATTTAGTATTCTTCAATTCTTTTGAAAAATCTGACGGTCGCACCTGTTCAGGCCCCGAAATTGTGTAATCAATCAACGACGCTTCATGTCGTAAACATCTTTCACTATCTTTTATCGATGGAAATATATATTGGTCAAAGATTACATCAATTCTTCGTGTGGAATATTTCGAAACCATTTGCAGAAAATTTCTTTGAAATACTCCGAATGTTTTGGGGACTTCTTTCATTGAATGGAGAATAAAAAATCCATCGATTAAAAATACGTCTGTATTACGTGGTGGTTCTTGATCAACATTTGGTTCAAGGCATTTTAGAAGAACGGATTTATCAGTTTTGCAGAAGCCACCATCGAGATGACATAAAGCAAGAGGTACAGGAGATATTGGATACGCTAAAATTTTGAGAACATCAATTTGATGGTCCTTTGAAATTCCCAACAAACGTCCAAATAAATCTCGCTGTAGCTTGATCTCTTGCTGCTTACCTCCGATTTTTACAGATTTCTTTTTTAAAAGTAGACTGGAAAAGTTGTGTATCGGAGTCTTTTTGATGGCCTTTTCAAATCTTTTCGAATCAGATGCACATTCCGAGATGAAATTTGTTCGTAGCTCTCCGCCATTTTTTTGGATGTTTAAGAGGAACTCTTCCACTTGAGATGACGCAGCTTTTCCGGAACCTATGTTGAATAATTGATCGGGTGATAAATCTAAGCCGAAGGGATTCACATATTGATCAAATGCGTTAATAAATTTTTCAAGTTGTTGACAACTGTTCTTAATGTTATGTGGTTGTAACTCAGGTGAAATATCTTGCTTCTTGGTAATTCCTAACTCATCCAATACGTGTGTAATTATACTTGAGCGGATATCGTGACTTCTCGCCCACCGTTGACGAGCTGAAATCGAGTGAGTGAGATGTGAGATACCAGTAAGTGTTCTCGCAGCATCTGCATTAATGGTCTGCTCTAATGTAAGATCAATAGGTTGCCTTGAAAACGGCTTATCGGTCCGTTTGATTCCGAAAAATCCATTTTGAAAATCTTGCTCTAAACCGGGATGAGTAGTCGGAACTTTTACCAAATTATAATGATATTGGACTGCCCATTTTGCATAATTTTGATGGTTAAGTACAAAGAATAAATTAGTTATTTTTGGTAAGGTGTCAAGATATAATTGGAAATCACCAACACGAATGCTCCTACTTAGTTGTAAGTAATGATCAACGAGTTTGATATAAATCATGTAAAATTGAGCTGTTTTACCGTGTTCACCATTCAATGTTTGTTGCTCGTAAATTGCGTATTCCTCGAACAGTTCCTTCAAGCTGTCATTGTGAATAAAAAATGAAAATGTCTGACAATTCTGTAACCGTGCAATCTCTTCTGTGATGTCTTCTGAAATTTGAATATTTTTATGTGTTAAAAAAGACCTAAAATGCATTATCTGTAGTCCTAATGCCATCATTGGGTGTAATCTTTTACAACGATTGAAATGTTTGCCCTCAATAAAGCTTGAAACGGATCCATTAGCAATCATTTCACTTTCAACCATGATGGTTGACAAACCACAATCATTAATTACTTTTCCGATTGCTTTAAAATATGACATCATTACGTGAAAAGCTCCCAAGTGTATGAATAATTTTTGGAATGTGTTACTTTCTGTAGCTTGAATTTGTAATGCAATCTTTGCAATAGCTAAATCGTAAGTTACTTGCATGTATTTTTGATTTAGCTCTTGCAAGGCTGCCATGCATTGCTGCATAGTTGCCAAAACTACTGCATTGCTTGTCGGTGAGTGATTAATCGGAGTTAAATATGTAATTAATTGTTGTGGAGTATTATCAATCACTATTTTGTTGTTAAAACCCGTCCACATAGGGGTATTTAATAATCCCAAAGCATGACTTAACATCCAAACTCTGTCAATTTTATCGTAAAGACTTTTATGCAAGATTATGTTAACCTCTTCTTCGCTTTCAGCTTGAATGTTACTAACTTTTCTGAGTTTTTTAGCACACTGAGGTAACTCGAAGTCGATTGACTCAAAAGATCGTCGTCTAGGCCTGTCACGTTTACTAACTTCAGTATCTTCTTTTTCTGCTTCCTCTTCCTCTTCTATGTTAGGGTCTTTGGGGTCAATATTTTGGTACATTATTCCCACAGTATCATGAAGAGTGTCTTTCCCAGTCTTGGTATCAACAAATCGGTCATAATTGTCAAATGCCACACCTGCCACAAGATTTTCTTCTTTATTAATTACCTCTGGACATATTTCGGTACGTGAAACCGATGAAAATGTGGCTTCTGTTTCTAACTCCTCGACAGCGCTATAACTTATACAATGACCATAACGATTTATTATATCGATCACTTTTCGACTGCTTGTAAGACTTTTTAAGGCCATGTCTAAGCAGATGTGTTTAGATGTCTTAAGGTTACCGTTGTGAGTAATGTATATAATATCCTGTGACAGAGACTGTACATGACGTTGAAAACTGTCGCAATTCCGTCGTTTACGTTTGTAACATCCGAGAATTGATGAAAAAAATTCGGAAATCATAGGTGGTTTTGAACACTCACCTTTTATCAACCGCTGACTGGTTAAATTATCAGGCAATTTATTTTTTTTATGCCCATAATTTCCTCTCGTAAAATGGCAGCAGCTTCTCGTAAAATATCTTGATCTTTTAAGTGCGCAAATAATGATTCATCAATAGTTGAAATACCTATCGGGCAACAACTTTTTTTTTGTTAGATGTCAAAATTTGAATTTTACCATTAAATTTCTTGCGAAGCTTTTCTTCCAAATAGGATGCGATAATATTGATGCTGAGTCTGAGCTTTCACTTAATTCTTTAAACATTTCAAGATACTCTTTATGCAAATAACTCAGAAAATAACAACGTCCTCGATTTATAACATTCTCTTCAATTAAATTACATATTTCTTTATAAACAGTTTCATGTACTTCTCGGGAGATGTGCCATGAAGTACGAACTGGACTTTTCACGAGTGATCTTTTTTGATTCCTAAAATTTTGCCGGCAACTGTCATGGTAGTATACTTGACGAGAGAGAACACTTTGTATTTTAGTTAGAGTTTCATTGTAAATTTCAGTATCTGCCTTAAAGTTTAACAGGACACTCTTTTCAAATTGATCCTTTTCTGAAGCCTGTAATGGGTCAATTTTACCACGAAATTGTTTCTTTTTTTTTGTTACAAAAAAAAAACACAAATTTGAATTTGAACTTGCAGAAGCTACAGTATCGGAAGTTTCAACAGTCGATGATTGTGCTAAATTTTCAGATGGTCCTTCCTCCAACGGCAGTTCAGCGTCGATTTCTTTTTCTGCTTCTTTTGTTTCAGGAAGGTTTCCATCTTTTTCAAGTGAATCGTGTACAAGTGTATCAACAATTATTGAGCTCTCAGCTGATGTAGATGGCTGTTCAACTGCAGGCAAAGATTTTCTGGACTGTGATGAAGTCTTTTTTTCAACATCTGTCGTCAAATACTGTCTTTTCAACGCTGTAAATGTCTTGTAACAACTACTATGGTATGCTGAATCATAAATTTCGTCCGGTAAAATAATGTCATTGTATTTTAATTTATGAAATTTCCTTAACCTCAAAACTTTTTTACATTTTGATATAGTCTCTTCTGAAAACAGTAATAATTTTTCATTTCTTACCGAGTTACAAAAGACACACTTCTGTTCTGGTTTTTCACTCGACATAATCACGGATAGATTAAATAATAATAATCGTATCAATAAAACAAAAGAAAGCAACACTATGTATTATATTCAATAAATTCACGAAACACGCAGTAACTGTTAGAAGGCTCAGAGATATACTGAAAACATCTGGCAAAAACCGTTAGAGTGGGGATGAACCTTGGCCCTCTCAGGTATAAAACCTGAATTTTTCGAGTGCGAGTAACTACACAACGAAATAATTCTATATTCTGATCGAGAAATACAACGGAGTGACAAATACTTAGTATAGGACCACAACGTGAACATACGGCAAAATTTAATTAAATAAATTTTATGTAAATTATTCAGTGTAACTAGACAGACAGACAGTCCGCTTTAATAAAACTGTGATTTGTGAACTAAAGCTAGAATGAGTACAATAGTGATTCATAGAGAATAAAAGAAAGATAGCTATAGACAGTCTATGCATACTTCTGACCGGATAATAGCTAAGATTTTCTTGTCTACTGAGTATGTCCACCATGAAGACGTCTGCCATGATCAATATAAGTTTTTAAGACCCTAATAAATGAAATATATTAATGGCAGATCTGGTCAATTACTTTGAAAATTTTATTTTTTTGAGCACTTTCAAAATTGTCTGCCGCAATGAAAACCGCGCGATAATGGTCTGCCATTGTTATTTTCCGATAATAATATTAATATATTTTCAAATTTCAAAGCGGCAGACGTCGTCAAATACTTATAAAATTGGCCAAAAATCGATACCTGTCTTACCTGAGCGCCCTGCAATTCGGCCACCTGGAGCTTAGTGACTCTCCATCTCATGTACAGTAGGTATAGGGGTCTCACTGTACAAAAATCCAGGTATCGTCAAATACATATAGGTAGCCGCCCACTGGCTCTTAGACTATGTAGTATTGTAACAAAATCTGTTCCTTGTGAACACATGTTCAAAATTTGGTTTAATTTTAAATAAAAGAAAAACACGGCTAAGAAGAAAAGTGGAAAAACTTATGTTTTTAAATGTCAATTTAGACGATTCGCGATTTAATAATGTGTAATGTAAATGTAAGTACTATTTACTATTTGTATTTTTTAATTTATTTTTCAAGTTATAATAAATATTTATAATTAAAATATATTTAAATAAAAATATATATTTAAAACATATATTTAAAAAATAAATTATATTTAAAATATATCATTCGTTAGTTTCTTTCACTTCAATACTACTTATACACATAAACGATAATAGCCAAATTGTTTGTTTGTGTACTCGCTTATTTGAAACTACTGGTAAACAATCAACTAGTTACTAGTTTACGAAAAACGGTTCCGATAAAAATGTTAACGACCCACCTCTACCAAAATCAAGGGGAAATATGATTGTTTTCTTTATCCTGTTAAATTTTACCATACCGACCATAAACTTTTACCTACACTGTATGAAAGTAGAGGGCCTCAGCATTTTAAATAATTTTATTCTATAAGTGGTTTCCACCCTATATACTATATTTAAAAGGGGTAAACCCTTTGTAATTATTACATTCAAACTGATTACCTTTTCCGTAAAATCGGCATAGCGAACCGATATCCTTTCGTCAGAAATTTGCTCTTTTTCTATACTCTTGCTATATCTTGTCCTTTCTTCTATCAATTTTATCCTTCTTCTTCTTCAAGTGCCATCTCCGCGGCGGAGGTCGGCAATCATCATAGCAATTCGGACTCTTGAAACGGCTGCTCTGAAAAGTTCATTTGATGTACATCCGTACCACTCTCTCATGTTGCGCAGCCATGACATTTCACGCCTCCCTATGCTTCTCTTTCCTTGGATCTTTCCCTGCATAATCATTAGGAGCAAGGTGTATTTCTCTCAACGTGTAATATGTTCGAGATATTCTAATTTTCTTGTTTTTATCCACCGACTCCTAAATGTAGGTCTCTTCCAATTGCTTTAATCTTACACTGTTCTGTGCCAATCTCACCCATTGTTTTCCCGCAGATGTTGCTCTCTGTTCACCTATTATCATCGTGTCTGGGTATGTGGTTGACCCATAGGCATGTAATTTTTACCTTTTTCTCCATAGGCGAGGAAACGAAGCACTAAACCTACCAATTTTCCGCAGCAAGAATTGCTGTGAAAGTTTTTGCATTCGATTCGGGAGCTGTCATGAAAGTGTGTGAACAAAATTTATAGTAGTAAAATGAAAATTGCATTTTGTGCAAAATGAAAATGCATAAAAGTGCATAGAAAATAAAAAATTTGCAACTAAGAAATTATGCCCGGGCTGGACCTAGTCTAATGGATTATATTAATTTCCTTCCAAATTAGTCGACAGTTATAATTCGTGGGTTTTTGAGGTCGCTGAATACAAATATGATAACGACAATGATCCTCGAGCTACTTGGTGCCCAGGGTGAACCTCTTCCCTTCCCTTTCAAATTAGTGGACAGTCATAATTCGTGTGTTTTTGAGGGCGCTGAATACAAATATGATAATGACGATGGTTCTCGAGCTACTTGGTGCCCAGGGTGAACCTCGTCTCCTTTATGTTATTTTTATTTGAAATCAGCCAAAAGTCATTACTTGACGATTATCGAGATCGCTGAACGCAATATTTCATGATGGTCCACCATGGGTACCAGGTAGCTCAAGGAGCATTATCTTTATCATATCCGTGTTCAGTGACTTTGAAAATCAATCGAGTAATGACTATCGACTGATTTAGAATAAAATTAACCTACTTCAGGAGAAGAGGTCTATCTTGGAGACCAGGAAGCTCGAAAACTATCTTCATTATCATATTCGTATTCAGTGACCTCGAAAACCTTCGAGTAACTAAATCGAACTCATTCCTTTTGACATTATTATTATTATTATTATTATAATATAAGCGAGGGCAGAGGAACTAAGTCCCTATTATGCCCAAAAACAAAGAAATTTCATTAATCACCTACTAGTAAATAACAAAAATTACAACTAAAAGAAATAAAATTACAATTTTTGGTTTAAAAGAAAAACAATATTTTAACTATAATATAAAACTGTCGAGTCTGTTTTTGAACGAGTTGGTAGAGGAAGCGGAGACAATGTTGTCGTTGAGGTTATTCCAGCACTCAAAAACTCTATTTGGAAGAAAGTTCTGTCTTTGTCTTATAGAAAAATTTTCTTTCTTTAGTTTATATTGATGACCTCTGAGGCGTTCATCTTGGTTTATGATAAATATTTCCTCGAGGTTTCCAAAATTGAATTTTAGTATTTTGAATGTTGTAATTAAGTCTCCACGTTGTCGGCGAAGTTCAAACGTAGTGAGGTTTGCCATACTAAGTCTTTCTGCATAAGACGGTCTTCTCGGTCCCAAAGAAATTCGAGTGGCTTTTCTTTGGACATTTTCCAACAGAGTCTTGTCTCGAACCAGATCGGGATACCACGTTGGTCCAGCGTATTCAAGTATGGGTCTTACGTACAAAGTGTAAAGTTTGCAAAATAATTGCATTGAAACTCCCGAAAAACACCTCCGAATAAGATACAGTCTGGAGTTTGCACGTTTACAAATAGAGGTAATATGATCGGACCAAGTTAGGCTGCTGTTCACAATAACACCAAGATCGTTATACGAAAACACAGATTCTAATGGCTGCCCGTTAACAAAGTACGGCACAAGTGGGTTATTTTTGCCAATTCGAAGCACTACACATTTTTCCGCGTTTAAGGGTAGTAACCACTGGGAACACCAAGTTAAAATAGAGTCCAAGTCCATTTGGAGGGTTAGCTGGTTTGTGTTTGGATTGGCATATATTTTTGTGTCGTCAGCGTAAAACGATATTTTACTTGAGACATAATAAGGAATATCGCTGGTGTAAACCGTAAAAAGCAGAGGTCCAAGGACAGAACCCTGAGGCACTCCACTTTCCACTAACCTGTCCTGTGAGAAAGATTCGCCAACTCTAACTTTGTAATATCGATCTGTCAGGAAATCATCTATCCAACGAAGTAAAGTACCGCGAACTCCGAAATGTTCTAGCTTATGTAGAAGTCTGCGCTTAGGTACACGGTCAAAGGCTTTAGAAAAATCTAGATAAACAACGTCGACCGGCTGCGAACTGTTAAGGGATGAGGTCCAGTCGTTAACACAGTGTAGGAGATTAGTTAGAGTAGAGCGACCAGAGACAAATCCATGTTGTTGTGTTGGAATAACATGTTCCTGGAGAAGGAATTTGGTCATCTCCTCGGAAATAATGGCTTCCATAACTTTGGCAACTACTGGCAGCAAGCTAATCGGACGATAATTGTTGGGGTCGAGTTTGTTGCCTTTTTTAAAAATAGGGGTAACGGAAGCTAATTTCCAACTAGGGGGTAAGGAGTTTTGGATGAAAGAGGTTTGCATAATTAACGTTAAGGGTATTGCAAGCGTGTCTGCGCACCTTTTTAACAGTTTTGGTGTTAAACCATCTAAACCAGGTGAAGCGGCCGTGCGAAGTTTAATTAAGTGTTGTTTGACATGATCCACTGTGAATTCAACTTGCTGTAAGGATGCGCCGACACGATTACAGTTAACAGCAGGTAGATTACCATCATTTAATTCTTTAGTAAATACCTGTGAAAATGCTAAAGAGAGAGTTTCGGAAGATTCTTTGTCAGAAGAGCATAAAGTCTGGTTGGATTTTTGAAGTAGCGGAATGGAAACTTTAGATGTCATGGAGGAACGTATGTATTTATAGACTTTTTTAATGTTACCACTTTCAATAACGTTTGCTTCAAAATTTTGTCTTAGGGTTTTTAGAGATGTTTTTAAGTTATTTGAAAATCTGCGGTGGCTTTGGAAGTCACTAAGAAGCCCGGTGTGTATAAATTTTCGCCATAGATGTCGTTTGTGATTGATTTGTTTAATTGCTGTTCGATTTATCCAGGGTTTGAGGTTGTTTTTATAACTCTTACGGAAAATAGTATTTGTAGAAATTATATTGTGGACTTTATCGAGAAATGCAGTCCACATTAATGAGGGGTCGTTTAAGTCTGCAAAAAATAAATGCCAGTCGATTTGAGAGAGTTCAGTGTCAACTTCAGAAAAGTCGGTAGTAGCATATGTTACAATGTTATTTTTGCGGGGTAATATTTGATTGAACTGGATGTGAGCCGTTATAACTGCATGATCTGACTTTCCTATGGGAGAACTGACTTCGAGAGATGAAATCAGCTGTTCGTCATTAATAAGCACTAGATCTAAAGTAGAAGGTTGGTTATTATTCCTAAATCTAGTAGGTTCTGTAATGAGTTGTATCAGGTTTGAATTTACTACAAAGCTTTTAAATAAATTATGAGCGTTTTCGGCGTCAGATAATGAAGTTATTGGCCAGGTGATCTCTGGGAAATTAAAATCTCCAGTAATGATGAGATTATCAAGAGATGATAGTTCTTCAAGTTTTGTGAAGAAAACATTATCGTGTGCAAGTAGTGTATTAGGTGGACGATATATACATACTAGATTAAGGCAAAAAGAATTTTTAGTAACAGATAAGTGAATTGCATCTATTCCAGTAATATCTATTAGCTTGAGGTTAATTTTGAAAGTTGTGGTAATAATATTGGATAAATAAATGCATACACCGCCACCCACACGATTTTCTCTGTCTTTACGATATATTGTATATCCATTTATATTAACAGAAGAGTCTGGAATTGTGGGTTTGAGCCAGGATTCGGCAATACAGATAATGTCCGGTTTAAGAAGTTGCACTGTGCATACAAATTCGTCAAACTTAGCGTTTGACGCTGAGTTTGACGAACAGGCAGCTACTCAGTAACTGCCTGTTCACGGCAGTTACTGAGTAGCTGCCATATCTACCTTGTATTTGGTTATCTCTACACAAAGCATCGTCAACTCTTCGTTTTGATAGAATGTTCGTATATTTCAGGTGAATATTTTTAAAAAATTTTCCTTGTTTCGTGTCTTGGGTTGTTTACGTAAGTTTTGTCCGGTAGGTATATTTCGTTTTGCATTTAGTAACAATATTTTTTTTTTATTTTTTCGCTCCTAAACCACAGCTTTCTAAACTATGTTCAACCCAGCAAATCACCAGACAGACGCACCACAACCGGCGCATCATACGGTGACATTTGCGTTGCGACTACTGATCTCCCTAATCACGGTGTCCATATCCCAGATGATGCATGGTACATTGGATGCCGATTACGCTGGCGATCTATGTAGATTACAGCCTTCGAACAATATGATCGCACTAACATTCCTGACAGCATAAAGTCCAAACTCGTGGAAATAAAATGAACACGGAGACAAAAGGAAAAAGATAAGACGCAGACTCTACCTCTGTCCCATGTAAGTCTTAATGGCCCAAATAAGGGTCCTATAGGTAATATAGGTAAACCTTCAGCACAGTAAGGTAGCTTATTACTGTTACTCTTCGGTAGATGCAAAAACATCACACAAATCGACCAAAAAAGAATACTAGAAATTGGTAAAATGAAGAAGAGGAAGAAGGGAAGACAAGGACATATTCAGCAACCAAATAAAATAAGTATATAGAAAGAGGTAAAAAGTTTAAGAATAGGTTAGTACTAAAAAGATAAACGTATACAGAAAGAAAAGTTAAATGAGACGCAGCGGTAGGTATACTCTTAAAAAATAGAGTGAAAGGAAAAAAGATGTGTAGTTTTATTTATTAGTTTTATTGTTTTATTTTTGTTACTTCTTAATTTTATTAGCTGACTTTATTTTTTTTATGTTTTAGTCATAAGTTGCACTGGACGTCTAGTGACATATCAAAGAAACTATGACGTATTCGACAAGAGAAACTGGAATAATCACCAAGTGTTAAAAGAATGTAACGGTTTAGTTATAAATAACTTTTTGGGTTTTACTTCTTTTGGAAAACTGGACGTAAAAGAAGTAGTTTTTGAAGAATATGCTCAAATTTTATTTGAAAACGACACTGAGATAATTCTGGATATTGATTCTGTAAATGAACTAAATTGTAAGTGATTTTTTATTTATCATAACTATTAATTTATAAGAAATTTATACAAAATATATAAGAAATGGCTAAGAAATAAAACATCTAAAAATAGAGCAACATGTCAAACGAAAAACGGAGAAATACGCAGAAAAAGCAAAAAACAATTTCTGGAACAAAAATATCTCCAAGTTGAAAATTTAATTGGTGGTTCTCAGACTGTAGAATCATGGAGAACTATCCCTAATCTAAAGAAAGACACCCATAATTCCTTAAGCAACTTAATTCCTATAGAAAAGTGGGAAAATCACTATAAAAATTTACTCCAAGAGTCCAGATTGGAATATATGGGAGAGGAATACAGTATGGAGAGACAAACAAATAGTAACATTAATACTACTAACAACGAGGTCCGTACTGCGTTAATTAAAATGAAAAACGGGCGATCTCCAGGACCTGGCAATATAGCTGTAGAGTTACTTAAAGCAGGAGGTCCACTCCTAATAGAACGAATAACTTTTCTAATGAATCAATGCTGCCAACAAATTAAAGTACCATCTGAATGGAAAACCGCTCACCAAGTGTCCATCTTTAAAAAGGGTAATCGAAAAGATCCTAACTGCTACAGAGGATTAAGTGTCCTACCTACTTTCGGGAGATTGTTTGGAAAGATAATAAATGGAAAAATACAAGATGATGTAGGACATCTAATTAGCGAAGACCAAAGTGGATTTACGCCTGGTAGATCTTGCACTGATAACTTGTTTATACTCCAACAATTAATAGAAAAAAGAATAGCGGTTGGTACCGAAGTACATCTAGCCTTCATCGACCTAGAAAAGGCGTATGATACAGTTCCAAGACTTAAATTGTGGCAAGCTTTACAACAACTCGGCATTAGTCAATACCTTTTAGGAATAATCACAGAAGTATACAGGGATAACACTACTTACCTAAAAATCGGAAATAGACTATCAGAGCCAATAAAAGTAACTAAAGGACTAAGACAAGGATGCAGTATGTCACCCTTACTGTTTAATTTATATATTGAGGCAGCCCTCCAAAATTGGAAAAACCACTGCCAGGGAATGGGAATCTCCATAGGAAATGACGTACTGTTCTCCCTGAACTTTGCGGATGACCAAGTCGTCCTAGCTCAAGATTCTTATGATCTAGAATTTATGATAAAGCGTCTATACAGAGAATATGTAAAATGGGGGTTACAAGTCAGCATGAAGAAAACAGAATATTTAGTTATCAATTCAGATGCAAGGTTTGAAGTGTTGATAGACGAGGACGTGGAAATCAAACAAGTGGAAAAATTTAAATATTTAGGTGCACTCATTGATAAGAACGGCTTGGGAGAAACCGAAATTAAACACCGAATTAATCAGGGATGTAAAATTGTAGGATGTCTAAACTCATTATGGTGGATCGCAACATTTCCAAAGAACAAAAAAAGATAGGCAAACCATGGTTGAATCAGTTCTTTGTTATGGCTCTGAAGTATGGACAATTAATGCAGACCTGAAGAGAAGATTGTTGGCAGTTGAAATGAATTATTTGAGAAGAAGTGCTAGAACATCAAGGCTGGAAAGAAAGAGCAACGAATCTATAAGAAACAACATGAATGCTACAGAAACGGTCATTGACAGAATAGAAAGACGAGGTTTAAAATGGTTTGGACACCTATTGAGAATGCCTGACGAACGTTGGCCCCAAAACTTCAGATGGAAGCCCCTGGAAGAAGAAAAAGAGGTAGACCTCGACTCTCATGGAATGAAGGAATTAGAAGAGCGATCGAATCGAGAGGTTTGGAGGAGGAGCATGCCTTGAACCGGGAGGATTGGCGCAGGAGAACGGAATACGGCGATAGCCGTCTCCAAAATGTATTGTATTTACGAGGTAGATCCTGTATCCTGTATCCATGTGGATATATATATATATATATATATATATATATATATATATATATATATATATATATATATATATATATATATATATATATATTATTATATTATTATTTAAAACTCTTTTATTACCATGAAGAAAGGTTTAAAATGATCTGATACTCACAAACCTAATGTTTTAAAAAGTATTCTGACCTTTAGTTTCGTTGCTTAGAGCTTGTGCAACATCATCAGCCCATTATGAATACTTTTTTATACAGTGCCTACAAAAGGACATCTCAAGGGATTCTATGACATGCTTTTTCAAGATCATAATTATTAATTTAATAATATTTAAAACTATTTTGTTGTTCATGAAGGAAGGTTTAACATGATCTGACACTCACAACCTAATGTTTTAAAAAGAATTCTGACCATTTGTTTAGTTGTACAAAATTTATGCAACATTATCAGCCAACTAAGAATACTTTTCTTTCAGTGATGCATATCATTATAGAGAGATAGTATATATACTGTTTGCAATATATTGTTACGAACATGCATGGGAGAACGACCTGTCACGTAGGCGAATTAGATGTGGGCTACTTCAGAATGTCAGTATATATATATATATATTATATATATATATATATATATATATATATATATATATATATATATATATGTGTGTGTGTGTGTGTGTGTGTGTGTGTGTGTGTGTGTGTGTGTGTGTGTAACGATGTTATGAGTTGAGTTTAGTTGATAAGAGAGTATTGAACTGTAAACTTATTATATATATATTATATATATATATATATATATTATATATATATATATATAGTATAATTATTTATTTAATCGTCGGGAACATCCGCGTAGTTCGGTAGTGATCTTTGTACGAAAGAACATTTAAAAAAGTACGTGTGTGCCTGACCAAAGATGCTGCTAGTAGAACTTTCAGTGAAACAGTTGCGTGAGCAACTAGAAGAACGCGATGAAGACTGCAGCGGGTCCAAGAAGATACTCCAAAAACGATTGAAGACTGTTCTCAACAAGAATGGAGACGACCCAGAGACATTCCAGTTTCCAGTCAGCAGATGAAGCAGGTTTAACGAAAATAAAAAATGTGTCACAAATGATTGAAAAACTTCTAGAAAAATATAATAAATTCGAAACTGTTCTAGAAGATTCGACGAGAATTTGAAAATGTTTCGCAAATGATTGAAGAATCTTAAAAAAAAAATGATGATAAATTCGAGAACTTTTCCAAAAGATTCGATGAAACGTTTCAAATTATTAAAAAAGTAGCTAGACAAAACAACGAGAAACTCGAAAAGGTTTCTAGAAGATTCGACGAAGTATGTATTCAGAACAATGGAAATTTGAAGAAGTCTCTAAAACACTCGATCAGATACAGAAAAATGTAAACAACGTCGAGGAGAAAATCAACAATTAGAGACCATGATGACTAACCATCAATTAATATGGTAGCTTTAGATCCGGTAGTGAAATAAGAATCACCTAGAGACGAAACGACACATCATATGAGATTCAAATTGCCACCATTTGATAGAAAGTCTTCTTGGTCCATATACCTTAGACAATTTGAAGCTATTGCGACAGCCAATCATTGGACAGAACAAGAAAAATGTGTTTCCTTGACTGCTGCTTTACGAGGTGATGCTGCGGATATCCTAAGATCGATTCCTAAGGGTCAAGAAAAATGTTACCAGACCTTGTTCACTCGACTAGACAAACGTTACGGAGATGACCATCTACAACAAGTCTACAAGGCGCAACTAAGAAGTAGAATTCAACGAGCAAGTGAAAATTTTTAAGAGTTTGAAGCAGATGTTGGTCGTATAGTGCGGTTGGCTTATCCAGAGGCACCAGAAAACGTGTTGGAAGAAATTGCTGTGTATATCTTTGTCAATGGGTTAATGAACAATGAATTACAGAAAGCTCTACGACTATCAAGACCAAAGTTCTAGATGAGCGTTCACTATTGCCTTGGAACATGAAACAGCTAGTCAAACTTCACGGACCCATCGAGAAAGAACCATTGAAGAAGGCGACGAACCAAACGATGAACCTCTGGAAGAAATGGTACGAAAAGTAGTTCGTAACACGATGCCGAAGAGACGCGAGCCCAGATGTTGGAATTATGGTGACGTAGGTCACATTCAGTAATTGCAATAATTGCAAGAAAATTATACAACAGTCGGAAAACTAGAACGGGTCGACACCAAGGGGCAACTGCCGACCTCGAGAAACACAGCCCCCATAGTAACTGTGAACATTACGTCCTCCGGTGGAATTCATAGCTTGTATGTAAATCGTTTTTGGTAGATACAGGTGCAACAAGAACTATTGCACGGCCAGAAGTAGTACGAGGCCATCTTAAATTATCGCCTGCAACAGTAAAGCTTAGAACAGCAACTGGTGAGATAATTAATACATATGGCGAGGCTAATATGTCAGTATCCATTGGCCAGACCACAGTGAAACATAGAGTATTAATTGCAGAGATCTCCGACGAGTTCATATTGGGGATGGATTTACTAAGGAAAGTTGGGGCTGTATTGAATGTCAAAGATGGAGTTCTCGAGATCAGTGGTGAAGAGTTGCCGTTTCATGAAGACAAAGAAGATGTTATCAGCTTAATAACTACTTGTGATGTAACGATACCTGGTAACAGTGAGAAAATTTTGATGACCAGACTGATGGTTACTGCAGAGAGGGAAGTTTAAGGACGGTCGAAGATGTGAACAATGCCGAGTTCCTAACGGCAAAAGCTTTGGTGAGAATTCGAGATGTCGTTCCTGTAAGAGTTATAAATTTAAAGAGAACTGTTAATAAGTTAAGTAAAAGAACTTTGATCAGACAGTGTGTCCCGTGGCTTAGATTTGTTTTATGAATACTAATAAGAAATCATCGAAATATAAGTATCCAAAGGAGCTTGTTAAGACGATGATTAAAACGTACCAAGATCTTGATGATGAACGAACTACAAAAGTGAAGTCTATGCTGATAGAATTTCAAGATATTTTTGCCATTGATAAGAAGAATAATGGCAAAACAATCGTAGTAAAGCATAAAATTAATACCGGAGACGCTCAGTCAATCAGA